CGAGCGGGCTCGGCTCGTCTAGCCCACCAGCCCACTCGGCTCGTGCTCGGGCTCGTTTTTTGACGAGTCCGAGCGGCTCGTGGGCGTGAACAGTACGAGCCGAGCGGGCGAGCCGACGAGCCGCTCGGCTCATTTGACACCACTACCAGCAAGGTACACTTGAAACAACGCTTGTATTCTCACCGAATGTCTAAAGGTGCTTAATTGGATGATCACTTAACTATGTTCAAAGAAATCATGGTTGATTTGGAGACATTGGAGGTTAAGTATGATATGGAGGACTTGACTTTGATGTTGTATTCGCTGCCACCATCATATGTGACTTTTAGGGATACTATTCTTTATAGTCGGGATACTCTACCATGGAATAGGTCTATGATGCTTTACTATCTAAGGAGAAGATGATGCATCTTATTGGAGGATCTGAAAATCATGCTGAGGGCTTGATTGCGCGTGGGAGAAATCAAGATAGGAATCCTATCAGAAATATGAGGGGCATATCGAAATCTAGACATGTTGAAAAGACATGTCAGTATTGTAAGAAGAATGTGTATATTAGAGCTGATTGCTATGCCTTGAAGAACAGAAATAAAGTAGTTGGTGCTACTGAGAAATGGAATCAACCTGTTAATACAATAGATGCTGACATTGTGGAAGATGAGTAAAGTGAATGATAGCTTTTTGTGATTTCTAACATGGATGCCAAACCTTGTGAAGAATGGGTTCTTGACTCTGCTTGTCCTTTTTATATGTGTCCTAACAAGGATTGTTTTTCTAGCTATGAAGGAGTTTCGAGATGTGCTGTGATTATGAGAAACAACGTGCCTTGTAAAATAGTCGGAGTTGGCATAGTCAGAATCAAAATTTTCGATGAGGTTGTTAGAACACTTACAAATGTAAGACATGTTCCAGAACTGAAGCGGAATCTCATATCTTTGAGTGCACTTGACTCAAAGGGCTACAAATACATTGACGAATGTGGAGTTTTGAAGGTGAGTCAGGGCGCTCTTGTTGTCATGAAGGGGCATAAAAACTTTGTACAACTGTACATTTTGTACGATTCCACTATAATTGGGGATGCAGTATTTCTACTTCTTTTTTAACAAATGATGAAGTTACAAAACATTGGCATATGTGGCTCGGCATATGAGTGAGAATGAGACGGCGGAGCTGAGTACAATGGGACTTCTTAATGGGCAGAAGATTAGCAAAATAGAGTTTTGAAA